GAAGACCACGCGCATGGTGATAAGCAGCCGCCGAAGGGCCATGCCCCAATCACGCCGGTGTCGCTCCAGTCGCTGCACCAGGACAAGGAAGGCACGGATACTGACTCGGATGATACCGAGATGGGTGACAAGGACGAGGAAGCTGTTGCGCAGCCGCTGCCCATGGCGGCCAAACGCAAGCCCAGAGCCAAACCCCAGCCCCGACGCAAGGCCTCGGCGATCCGGCCAGACAATACCGACACTACCTCCGCCCTTTCCGATGCAGATGGCGCTGTGGGTGAGGCACTCGCACTCGACTCCGACTCCAATTCGGACGATGTCAAGCCTGCCAAGGAGAAGGCCAAGAGCAACGTGAGCTCGCCACGAGTCGTCTTATCGTCTTCCAGACCCGCCCGCCGTACCCCAGCCAAGTCTCGCGCCTCAAAAACGACGAAGAAGTCGACGCCGCGGAAGAGCCAGTACTTCGCTGCAGCCACGTTGGGAGACAGCGACGACGAGGATGGGCATGAGAGCCAGGAGAGCGAGGCAGAGATCGTGAAGCCGAGGCACACGACTGCGCGGACGAGGAGAGCATGATGGCGTGGTAGTCTGACGAGCAGGGCGCAGTAGCCACTTGCTGTGCTTCACACTGCGGGCTGATACTCGCAGACATGACGATAGCTGTGTACAGCTATCATCCCGCACACCGATATGTTGGGCCACTTGGACCCCATCCTCGAAGTCGTAGTGCAGGCCGGTCGAACTTCATCTCTTCGGACCCGGACTGATGCTGCCAAGAAATTGGCACTGCTTCACGCCATGCTTCACATCCCTCAAGCCGTTTCGTTCAGCCAGCGCAAACAGACTTCGGGGGCGGACTCTCGCACACGATGGTACGATGGACCCCGTACCAAGTCCACCACCGACTTGGCATGAGTTTGGTTTGCATGGACGTCCAGACTCATGACGTTACTTCGGCGTTCCGGCCAATTGACTGTCCAGTGGCAGTACTGTAGACCACCGGCCCGCCGAGGTTGCACTTGAATCGCACGTATGCAGCTTGCACAGTAATCTTGGGAGGTTTCGAGGCCATCGGGGCTACACCGAGGTCCTCGAGCATGCAAGGCAACGAGAGGTATATCTACGCACATTACACCTCATTCGAGCAAGAACTGGTTCGCGTACGCTGTCACTCTTATATCTCCTGTGTTGTCACTCTCGCTGAGCGGGTCTCGCATCACTCTCTTTCATACCTCTCGAGCGTTGATTCAGACTTTGGGCTCCCAAGGCCCTATTTGCAAGAATGAAGCTATCGGCGCTCGCATTTTCGGCCTTGTCGGTGGCACCAGCTTACGCCTACCCATCGTATCTCACCACACGCCGGCAGCTCGGGTCTGGGAGCTCAACCAGCGCCGGAACATCGACCACCGGAGGGTCTCAGACCGAATGGCAAGCACCTGGCGCGGGTGATGGTTAGCTTGGGCACAAAACGCTCTCCCGGCCGATCAGGACTGACATACTGATGAGTAGCCCGCGGTCCTTGTCCCGGCCTCAACACCCTCGCAAACCACAATTACCTGCCTCACGACGGCAAGGGTATCACGTTGCCGATCCTCACGGCCGCGATGAAGGAGGGCTACAACATCAACTCGCTCGATGCCCGCATCCTCTTCAGCCAGGCAGTCCGTATCAACGTCAACTATCCGGCCGCCAACGACTTTGACTTGGAGAACCTTGGTCGGGAGGGTGTCCTGGAGCACGATTACAGCCTCAGGTATGATTCATGTGTCGATAGATCCTCATGCTTCTCTCGCTGTCAAACTTCGTCCGATCCATGCCCTCAGCCTCCATTTCGGCCGTGGCGCCGCAGCAGTGCGCCGCCATCATGCTGATCTTGATGTGAGCAGCCAAACAGATCGCTACTTCAACAACCCTCTGCCTTTCAACCAGACGGTCTGGGACGAGACGTCCACCTACTTCCCAGACGACGTCATCACCGTCCAGCAACTCGCCAATGCGCGCATGGGCCGTCTGAAGACCTCGCAGTAGACCAATCCAGAGCACAAGGAGACCGCCCTCGGCTCGGGCTTCAGCTGGGGCGAGTGTGCCTCCTTCTTTGAGATCATGGCGGACGGGACAACGGGGACGGTGGACAAGAAGTATATCAATTACTGGATCAGTGAGTCAAGCTCTCTTACTGTCGAGGCTGCTCGTCGTAGGCCTCAAAGCTGATGGTGATGTCAGGGAATGAACACCTGCCTGTGGAGATCGGCTGGAGGAGGCGTACGGTCGAGATGAAGGGTTCCGAGCGGACGGACTTCTCCCAGCGTCTGAAGACTATCGGGGAGGGACAGAGCAGCTCTGGACTCGGGGGCTCTGGTTCAGGGAGCTCTGGCCTGGGGAGTCTGGGAAGCCGTCTTGGATCGGGTGGGAGCATTTTCGGGCTGGGTGGCAGTCTGTTCGGGAACAGAGCTCGCCAGTGATGCACCTGCTTAGCGGTTGTACCCTTTTGCGTGCGCAGCGGCTGGCCCTCTGTCGATCTTTGTCTATCCCGAGCAGACCTCTTGCTATCGCCATGATTATGGCTGTCGGTACTACGTAGCTGCTTGACAGGCCTGGGGTGCCGCGATCGTTGTATCTAACTTTGGATCAAACCCAGGCAGTCACTCGTGAGCGAGATCAACTCTTACCAGCACCGTTCAACGGGCCCATCACACGCGTCTACCCGAGCGCGTCCGGTCGCCCTGATGCCTGTCTGACAATGTGCGAATGTTTGGCGTTCGTGCTTCGGCAGAGTGACGTTGAACAGAAGATACGGCGCTCGCGGACGACGTGTTCGTGTCCCGGGATTGCAGTGCTCTACATACCGTCCCAATCCCAGGCTATGCTTGACCTCAATCCGTCCCTTGCGCCTAATCGGAACCGCCACCAGCGAGTCTATACGGGCAACAGATGACCCCCGCCAATGCATATCTATGTTCGTGTCCGATAGAGCTGTCCGCCACAGTCCCGTAACCGCTTCGCAGCCTGCTCCGGCGTGATATCGCGCTGCGGCTCGGCCATCATCTCATAGCCGACCAAGAATTTGCGCACGGTCGCGCTTCGCAGTAAAGGCGGGTAGAAGTGCATGTGGAAGTGGGAGGCCTCGATCTCTTCGCTTGTCCCAGTCAGAGGTGCCTGGTGTATGCCCATGCCTTTGAGAGGTGTCAGCATGCCTAGAGTCGTTTCGTTCACGGGCCGCCGAGACTTACTGTATGGAAAACTCGTCTCGAAGAGATTGTCGTACCGCCTCGTGATCTCGGCAATGACCTCGGCCAGATCTTCTTTATTCTGCTGGTCCAGGTCCACCAGCGCCCTCTTGTGCTCCTTCGCCACGACCATGATCTCGAATGGCCAGGTGCCCCACCACGGACACCCAGCCCAGAAGCTCGAGTTCTCGAAGACCGTCCGTTCGCCCTTCTCGCTCTCCAGCTTTGCGTAGTCTTCTAGCAGATGGCAGCCTCCTTGCTCGCGCCGGTACTTCTGCAGATTCTGCAGCTCCACCTCGGGCTCCTCCGGCAGGGACGTCGTGGTCCATACCTGGCCATGGGGATGTGGATTCGAGCAGCCCATTGCCTGGCCTTTGTTCTCGAAGATCTGCATGTATCGGTACTGCTGCTTTGGCGGACTCACCAAGCTGCCATTTGTAGCGGCTGGAGGCGCTGATGTGGATTTCGTGGCCTTGGCGAGTGGCGAGTAAGGATCCATATGTGAGGTGTATATCTTCGTCCATGTATCTATCACCGGAACGATGTCCGTGGCGGGCATGTCGGCAAGGGTCACATTATGCTGAGGTGAGAAAGTGATCACATAGCATTTGCCAGTCGTGCTTTCCGCTTTGAGAAGGCGGGTCGCAAGCGCTGCCTTGTCGTCAGCACTCCATGCCCTCCAACCACCGCTTGTACAACTTACACCCGTCTTCTGTCGGCGGCTCATACTTCGTTTGCTGCTCTCGCACAGCAGCATAGTCGTTGACGAACACGAACGTCCGGTCGTACTTGGGATTCACGTCGCCTTGTGCTCGCTTGTTGCCAGGACACAGATAGCACTACTACGTCCGTCAATGCGCCACTCGTCTCCAAGACCTCGCCCTGTTGTGCTACGCACGGATGGATCATGCGCCGGCAGGCGAACCTCACTCGCAGCCTCTTTCTGTCCCTGCCACGGCCTCTTCGTCCTGTGCGGGCTGACCAGCACCCATGAGCCTCGGAGTGGATTGTATCGCCGGTGGGAGATGTCGTCTAGGATGGCATCGGGCATGCTGTCTGGTCTGGAAGCTGTTCTGGCTGGCATGCGAATGTTAGCGAGGTCAAAAGGATAGTGCAGTTCGTTATGCATACTGACGAGCTAGCTTCTCTGACGCACGACCAGCCTCACAATGACCGGGAATGGTGGCTCAGACACCCGCAGCGTCGATCGCGATATGTCGAGGTGAGGGGTTGATGTGGCAGTGTAGATACACCCGCTGAAAAGCTCTACACAACGCAGAAGAGGGTGTTTGGGTCTCGCGTCCAACGACGCAATGGATATGCCCACAGTCGAAGTGGACACCACCCAACATTACTCTTTCCCGCCGCCGGTCGGCCCGGCATGATTGGAGGAAGTATGATCTCTCAAGGTCGGCATGTGGAGGTGACGCACTGTGGAGGGGTGGAGGCGAGGGATCACCCGCTTGAAGATAGCGAAGTGCCCGATGCACGTGGCAGTCCGGCAGTTCGTATCATTCCGGTAAGGCTGAGAGGGAGGTGAGAACGGTACAGGTAGCACCGACACTCCTACGTGTACTGGGGATTCCGCTGGTAGCGGTTCCGATGGCACGATTCGATCAATGGCTGACTGGAGACTAGCTGTGGAATGGCTTATGGAAAAAGGAGCCATTGTGGAATACGAACTCCCGTGCCTGGGGTGGACTCCTCCGCTCATCGCAAAACGATAATGGCAACTTCGTGGAAGCCACCTCCCTCGATGGGCCAAAAGCAAAATGACCATCATGGGACTCGAACCCACAGCCTTCCGCTATGCTGCCTCTCTTGTAGGAGGCGGACGCTCTACCATTGAGCCAAACGGCCGATCAGCTTACACATGATCTCATGCCAAGTATCGAGGTGTCTCGGTGGATAATCGTATTCATAGAGTGTGCTTGTTGGACGAGCTTGCTGCGCTCGTCACCCCACGTATGGCGCCCTCCATCGGGCCCGTCTTACTTTGCTTGGTGCCTCTTCTTTCTCGATGACTTTGGCCGAGGCACACATGACGATGGTAGATGAATGTGGCAGGAAGTGCATACATCCAGGGATGGACGGATGAGATGCATGTGATCGGTGAGGTCACCGTGGTGGGGAGACACATGCAGACAGCAAGCTCACCTCAGGGCGCGCCCACCAACAGCCTGGAACTACTGCGCCTGGGCCACGAACCTCAACAGCCACTTTCCGTTTAGAAGATACCACCCGAGTGTCCCACCAATCGAGCACTCCCTCTCCAACGATCCCCAACGTCAGCGATCAGACCAGACACAACAAAGGCAGCCATGGCTCCAGCACAAACCGCCGACTTTAAGAAGGCCGTCGTGGACAGCCGGAAGCTGAAGGCCAAGCCGTCCGATGACGAACTCCTCAAGGCATGGGAACATCGCAAGTGATGGTCGTCAACAGCAGCTGCTGATCGGAAGTGCAGCTCTATGGCCTGTTCAAGCAGGGCACGCAAGACCCGCCCTTCGAGGCCACGAAGGCACCGGGCATGTTCGAACTGAAGGTGCGTGTGCCGGATCTTGTTATCCTCGAGATCACTGGACCAGGCCCCTGCTAATATGCTATTGGATGAACAGGAAAAGGCGAAGCGTTCCGCATGGGAAAAGCTGGTCAAGGAGGGCGTCACGGCCCCGGATGCGCAGAAGAAGTACGTCGCGCTTGTGAAGTCGCTGAAGGAGAAGCACGGCTACACGGGCTAGGTGTACCAGGCGGAGATCTTGCGGGAGGGCAGGGATATCGTGCTCCGCCGTGTCCTCCACCGAGCCCGGTTTCTGTCGGAGTGCTAGAGAGCGGTGCAGCGAGGGCGACACTGCCTGCAAGTTTGACAGGGATGGCACGATGCGTCTGCAAAGCATCATCGGTCCGTGAATTGCAGCGACGTTGAAAGGTTCATTGCCATGCCCTAGAGTCTGCGTACCGTGACATTGCATCTGATCCCAGAGACGTGCATCGCTCCTGATCTGTCGTACGAGCCCGCGGCTGCCCTGCGTCTGCGTTGAATATCGAGATACCACGTCTAATCAGGCTTCTTCCCATCCACCCAACTAGGCACCACGGCCCTGCAAACACCCACATAGTCCCCCCACCTCTCCCCACCCTCCACAACCCCCTCACCAGTCCAGAACATCGTCCAGTTGCTCCCCGGGATCCTCCAGCTCCCTGCCGCTCGTTCAAAATACCACTTGTTGACCGGATTGTCGCTTCGACTGCGCCAGCACACGCCTTTCGGGAAGCACGACCGGACCATGGCCTGGAATAGGATGTCTGCCACCCCCGATGAGCCCTGCGAGGACTGTAGGACGGCGAATTTGTCGAGGTACGGAACCAGACGGGTAGGGGACGTGGTGCCGGGAGGTTGCTCCCAGGTCAAGATCGCAGCGCCTTCGTAGGAGCCGGCGACAATGAGACCAGCGGTACGGTTCTGGATCCTGGAGAGGTAATGGCTCGTGTCTAGCTCTCGGCGAAAAGAGTTGTTGATGAGGTGTACGAGGCGTGGGAGGTCTACCTGGGAGTCTGTGCCGAGATCAAGGGGTGCGGTGCCGGTGGGCGGGACATGCCAGCCTTGTCCGCGATGGATCGAGGGAATGATCGAGACGGGCATGCCACGCTTCACGAGTGTGGCCGTCGGATGCGCTGCTGGTGCTGCATCGCCCGAGTGACGCGCAATTGGCAGCGAGGAGGAGACCATGGGCTTGTTAGTGAGAAGGTTGTGGATGAGGGTGTTCTTCTGCCGACGAGTCCCGGCTCCAGTAGCAGAATCCTGCGATTGGCTCGCTTGTGACGAGGTAGCAGCCTCGTAGGGCGAGATGATGAGGCCGGAGGAGGCCGGAGGCAGCATGCGGAGACATTGCTTCAGCACGGCAAGATTTTCGGTGTGCTGATCGTACATGTTAGGGCGGCTGATGGTGTCGTCCCATGAGGCGTACTGCAATAGCTCCCTCTGGATGCCGGCATACTCTTGCTCGAGGTTGATGAACACGTGGGCGTTGTCGCTTCGGTGTTTGGCGGGGATGCCTCCAGCTGCATCCAAGATGATGACGCGATCCAGTGAGATGCTGACGGCTTCTCCGTCGCTGCGCGACTGTTCAACGACTCGAGCATCGACAGAGAGAGCTTGAGTCAGGCCTGCCATGACGCCCTCAAGGTCGGCCTTGACAAGCTGCCCGGTCTGGGTGTGTGCCAGAGCAGGTATGACCGGAATCATACCTCGCTTGAGCGGGTCGATGATCAGTCTCGGTACGAAGACGTTGACCTTGCCACCGTCGTCCTGCTCGAGCGAGCCCGTGACGAGACGACACCCTTCCGCGCTGTGCATTCTGATAGCCTGCGACAGTCGTTCGGCCTGTGCCGCGGTCTCTGCCCGTCGAGTACGGATAGGTCTATCTGGGGAATGACCACCAAGCTCCAGCACGATCACAATGCGCATATCCAGCTTGACTAGCTGAGACAGAGTAGTCGCCAAGCCATCCAGTATGTCGTCCTCAAGGCTCTCCGGCACTCTCAAGCACACTAGAGCCACATGCAGCTCTGACTGTACAGTGGTACTCGCTTTCTCAACCACAATCTCGCGTTCGAAGCGCGGAGCATCTGCAATCGCCCGAGCAGGCGTATAGAGGCCGCCGAGATTCACGCCCATGCGATCCAGGCGCTCCTGGTCGTTGCGATATCGAGCATTGCGTTCTCGCTGCACGTTCGCGGCCTTTGATTTCGGAGGCTGGAAGCGTGCCAGATACTGCTTGGCGTCTCGTTTGGTGGCATTGGCACTCAGGACATCCATGAATAGCTCGCGCTGAGCTGCCGAATCTTCGGCCTGCCGTGTTGGCTTGATGTTGCAGTTGCTGTTGCCACTGGTCACAGGGGCTGGCGGTGTGCCGCAAACGCGTCGCCGTTGCTGCGAGTAAGATGTGGTCCAATGTTTGGTCCACGGCCTAAGGGTTTCGACTGCGGTTGCCTTTCCAGACGCCCACGTAGAGGTAATCATTTTCCATTGGTATATCTTCGGGATCGGGTGCTGCGTCTTCAACGACTCACACCATGAGCGTCACTGTCAGTAACTTAGTGTCCGCTGGGGTAGCGCCTTCGTCTACTGCGGGCGACAAATCGCGTTACGGTGCTGCACACATGAGATTCAAGTTTCCATGAGATGACTCCTTCTCCGCAAAATGCCACAGGTGAGGTGGAGACGGTCCCCTGCATGCGTTATCGGCGGATCCGCCAGGGCGTGCTTAGGTTCAATCTTGGTCTGCGACATCACCATCTCGCGCGCACATTGGCGAACGAATCTCATTGTTGAGCTTAACGACCGCGGGCGCAATGGTCGCCCAGCCCATCGCCAGTGATGAGGAAATGGTGAAGGCGGCGGCGGCGCTGGAGGTGATGTCGCGAAAGAAGCGCGTCCCGGAACGGATACTTCCGAGAGCCGAAGCCAGGCTCAATCGGGAGACATGTTTATTGATTGACGATTCCACGGGCATTCGCGACTTTTGCGACAACGCTTCTGATTCAACCGCGACGGCAAGGGTGGCGACGACTCCTTTGTCACCACCAAGATGCGTATCACCGAGCTGATCATTGACGGCTTCAAGTCGTACGCCGTCCGCACCGTCATCTCCAGCTGGGACCCGACCTTCAATGCCATCACCGGCCTCAACGGCTCCGGCAAGAGCAACATCCTCGACGCGATCTGCTTCTGCCTGGGCATCGGGCGCTTCGAACTCCTTCGCGCCAATGGCGGCGCCAGCGACCTCATCTACAAGCGCGGGCAAGCCGGCGTTACCAAGGCGTCCGTCACACTGGTCTTCGACAACAGCGACAAGCCCAAGTCGCCCATCGGCTTCGAGGACTTCGCGAGCATCAGCGTTACGCGACAGATTGTACTGCAGGGCGGTGCGAGCAAGTACCTCATCAATGGTCACAGGGCACAGCAGCAGACAGTGCAGAATCTGTTCCAGAGTGTACAGCTCAATATCAATAACCCGAACTTTCTGATCATGCAGGGTCGCATCACCAAGGTATTGAATATGAAGCCTGCGGAGATTCTGGGGATGGTGGAAGAAGCGGCGGGCACGCGCATGTTTGAGGATAGGCGGGAGAAGGCCTTGCGGACCATGAGCAAGAAGCAGGCGAAGGTGGAGGAGCTGGAGGGCTTACTGCGAGAGGAGATCGAGCCCAAATTGGAGAAGCTGCGGAATGAGAAGCGAGCGTTCTTGGAGTTCCAGAGCACACAGAGCGACCTCGAGCGTTTGACGCGGCTGGTGGTGGCATACGACTACGTCAAGCACAAGCAGAAGGTCCAACAGAGCGCGCAGGATTTGGCATTGAAGCGAGAGCGGCAGGCTGCGCTGGAGGAGGCCAAAGAGAAGATGAAGCGTGAGGTCGGCGTGCTGGAGGAGGATATGGAGAAGGTCCGGGCTGCGCGGGACAAGGAGCTGAGGAAGGGCGGCAAGTTTGCCAAGCTGGAAGAAGCGGTCAAGCAGCATTCACATGAGCTGGTGCGGCTGGCGACCGTGCTCGATCTCAAGAAGGCTTCGCTGTCTGAGGAGCAGGACCGGCTAAAGAAGGCACAGACGAGCGTGAAGGAGGTGGAGAAGCAGTTGAAGCAGCGGTCTGAAGCGCATAAGCAGCTGCAACAGCGATTTGAGACGTCAAACAAGGAGGTCGAGGAACAGAAGGCTGAGTTGGAGAAGAAGGAGGAGCTGTTGCAGACGCTGCAGACTGGCATATCATCAAGTGCAGGCTCGGACGGTGGCTATGCTGGTCAGCTAGCTGCGGCGCGCGAGACGGCGAGCAAAGCCGGCACCGAGATCGAGCAGGCGAAG